TTTTGGTGTTGCATATATCATGGGTTTAGATAAATTTGTATTGGCATACGTTCACTATTTATGTAATAGTTTATAGTAGTTTGTTTTGATGTGTGTGTGTGTGTGTGTGTAAGTGAACTACTTAACCAGGGGTACTCTACCACAGAGCTATACCCCAGGCCTTTTTTGTTTTTGTACCAGGGATTGAATCCAGGGGCCCTCAACCACTGAGCCATATCTCTAGCCCACCCCGCACCCTGCCTTTTTTTACTTTTAGAAACTGAGTCTCACTGAGTTCTTGGGGCCTTGCTAAATTGCTGAGACCAGCTTTGAACTTGCAATCCTCCTGCCTCCCAAGACACTGTGATTACAGGTGTGTGCCACCATGCCCAGCAAGACCTTTTTGATTTTTGAGATTCATTAAGGTGCCATGATTGGCCTTGAATTTGTAACACTTCCTGCCTTAGCCTCTTGAGTAGCTGAGATTACAGACCTGCACCACTGTGCCCTGCTTAATCCACAGTCTTTTTAAAGAGAGCTCAAGAGAACTGGATTTTCTTTTAAGATGTTCAATTTAAAATTTCCTATCATGTATTAAACAATGTGTCTAGGTTTGATACATATGGCCTCAAGTGATCACCCTTCTTTGTCCCAGGTACAAAGAGGGATATAAGTCTGATTCCTGAGAAAAAGAGAAAGAGATACCCAAATTTTGCAGCTTCTTTTTGGTTCTGTTCTGGGATTGAAAGACTATCTCTCAGTCACTTCCCCCAGTATCCACTCCTGCCTTCCCCTCCTCCAGCCAGGCTGCTAGGTGAGATTGAGTTCTTGCAAAATTTGGAATCCTGGTTTGGTGGCTAACACCAGGATCCCTCCCCATTCCATCTCTCAAGCCCGCCCTCTGCTGGGTTACCCTGGGTCAGACAGCAGTGGTTTGGCAGTAAAGACACTGGACTGAGGGAAGAGTGGGGAGAGGTGTTTCTGTGGCAACGGGAGGGGGGGCTACACAAGGGCTGCAGAGACTGGCTGAGGGGGGAAACATCTGAAATGTGTAGATCAGATCCTAGAGAAGGTGCAGATCAGTTTTAGAGTTTATGTGAATGAGTATAGGATTGCTTTAAGGCAGAGGGAGAATGGAAAGAGGAGGGATTGATGGAGATGTAGGGAGAAGGGGTGCAGCTGCCCAAGGAGGAGCATCAAAAGAGTCGGAGTCATTTAAGGGGAACAGAGCTTCTCTTTTCCTTCCTGCTCTTAGAGTGCCCAAAGTGTATCAAAGAACTGTTAAGTTCCTCATTATATATTGGGTTTCTGGATGGGAAGAATGAAGAAACTGCAGAGAGAAGGATCCAGAGAGTGGGAGCTCATTTGGCTAAGCTCAGTATGAGTCAGGAAACAGCTTTGGTAATGGAAGCCAGGTCTTTGGCTCCCTCCAGGGCTTCTGGAAGCTTATCCCAGGATGGCTGGCCTACAGAAGTGGTGAGTGATATTGTTAACAGGAGTGGAACCCTCCCCAGTCCCTGGTTTTCTGAAATAGTCTCCTTCTATACAATCCTATGAAGTGTTATCCCCACCTCCAAACCCTGAAGTTTTCCTTGATTTCATAAATCAACCTTTTCTTCCCCCAAAGTAACTATAACCCTAATGTCCCTTCCTGTTTAATAAGACTTTAGTAGGGACTTATGATTCTCCCTTCCACTCCCCTCCTTCTCCCTGCTTCAGACAGTAGGAGTGTGTGGGCGAGAGTAGGTGGAGCCTGGTGGGCCACAATGAGGTGCAGACTGTTTTTGAATGCTCTTAATCTGGAACTTGGTCTTGATTGCCAGTTTCCCTCCCATTAATTTATAAAACAGATATCCAAGGCGTCTCCTATATGCTCAGTCCTGGGGACAGAGTATGAACAGCACATAAATGGTTTTTGTCCTTAATAGAGCTTGCACGGAGGATGAGGTTCAGGTCCCCAGTTTTGTGTTGTCCTGTAGGATGGCTAGAATTTATAACCTCAGATTAACGTGTGTATATGTGTGTGGGGCTAGGGATTGAAACTAGGGCCTCATGCATGCTAAGGACAAATACCACCCCTGAGCTACACCCCTATCTCCAACCTCAAATTATTTTTAAAGGAGATTCTTCCTTTATGAAATCACTAAGAATCAAGGTGAGGCTAACTTTCTTTTAAATTTTTACAGCTTTATTGGGGTATAATTGACATGCATAAGTTCCATGTATTTAAAGTATACAATTTGACATGTTGTTTTATATGTGTGTGTGTGTGTGTGTCCCACAAAATTACCATACAATCAAAATAATGAAGATAACCATTACTCAAAAATCCCCCCCCCCCCCCGCTTTTGGTTACCAGGGATGAAACTCAGGAGCACTCAACCACTGAGTCACATCCCCAGCCCTATTTTGTATTTTATTTAGAGACAGGGTCTCACTGAGTGCTTAGCGCTTCACTTTTTTTTTTTTTTTTACTGAGGCTTTGAACTCACAATCCTCCTGCTTCAGCCTCCAGAGTCGCTGGGATTACCAGCGAGAGCGACCTCACCCGGCCCCATTCCTTTTTTAATCTTCCCTTCTCTCCACCCCACAACTACTGAAAATTCTAGAAAACACTAATCCATAGTAACTTGAGTTTAGAGGACTTAACAGAACAACAAAAAATGAACTTGGGGCTGAAGAAGGCTCAGATGTTGCAGGAAACAATTGGGATTTAGAACCAAATACTTAGCCAAAGTTTACCTTGAGGGGCCTACCAGTCAAGCAGCAGTACAGGGAAGGAAAGACCTGAGTGTCAGGAGAGAGTGGCTGTCTTCCCCAGGAACACCACCAAGTAGCTGGGCAGGGTCCACTTGACAGGTAATTAGGAATATTGCTAAGCTAGCACCTTCAGTCTTACGGCTTGGGTTGGAGTACATGGGAATGATCACATTGAAAGCATAGGCTCAATGAGGGGATTGTTTCTAATATTTATTAAAGCTTTTTTATTTGTAAGGCCAATTATAGACATGTCTTTGCTAATACCTGAGTTTTTCTTGCAAGGTACTTATTTATAGCCTCACACCTAATAATCCCTAACCAACACTCAAGTATTTAGAGCCCCCCCCCCACCCCCTTTGAAAGTAATTATTGAACAAATAACATTATTCCTTAGGCCCCAGACAACTATAAAATGCTGCAAGTTTTTCCAGACTGAAGTATGGATACACTGCCCTAAGGTCGTTATCTCCACGGATATAGAAACGGATTTACTCTGCAATCGCGAGTAATAACGGGTTTAGGGCCTCTGGAGGATCCAGGGCTCTGGAGGAAGTCGTGTAGGCAGTTCTGAGAGGGCCAGAGAGATTACTTTTGTAAGAAAATCTTTCCTATGTTCATTTTCGCTGCACCAAAGGTGTGGGATACATTTGGCTTTGGGGCAGTGGATGGAGGTGCACAGTAGAGCTAAGGGTTGGGTCTTCCCCTCGGGAGAAAGAGGTCTCAATCCAAGAAGGAACCTCTTAGCACGCCAGGGTCTCGGCCCGCCCCTAACCCGCGCAGCACTGCGAAGGGTCGCGGAGGAGGTGGGAACGCCGAGGTGCCACGACCCCGTCCCGCCGGAGGCCCCCGCACGAGGAGTTCGGTGCCCCGCGCCCCGCTCCGACGCCTCCCCTCCCTCCTGCGGCTCCGCCCCCTCCCCTGGCCACAGCCCGGCGGGCTAACCCTGGAGGGGGCGGCCCCAGCCAGGAGCTGGGCCGGGCGGAGCTGCGGTGCCGCCGCGTCCGGCGGCCGTCGGTCTCCAGCCGCGGAGCCCGTCGGAGGGCTGCCGAGCCCCCTTCCGGACCCCAGGCACCCTCGGGCCTCCCGAGCCCCGCCTCGCTCCCGCAACGGCGCTGGTGAGTCTCGCTCCCCGCACCAAACTTTTCCGCTGCCGAGTTGGAGCACGCTCCGGGTCGTCGCTGGTGTGCTGGGGGGACGGAGGCGAGGCGAAGGACGGGGACAGCCTCTAACTGCGCACGACTCCCCAAAGTGGGCCGCGTCGCCCGTTTCGCGCGCTGGCAGGACCTTGATTCTGGAGTCAGACTCTAGGGACGGAGAGCGAGGACCTTCGCGCCCACCGCGCTGCCCTCCCCGCGGCTCTGCGCTCCGCGGCTCCCAGACCTTCCTGCATCCTTCCAGTGCCCGTGGCTCCCCGGATGCTCATTCCCCCCAGCTCGGGCGTGGCGGAGCCCTCCCCTGGCACTTCGGCCGCCTCCTCGGGTACCCTCGAGGACCCGCGGTCGTGGCGCAGGGCACTCCCTCCCGCTCTACGGCGGTGCCCAGCGGCCGAAGACGTGCGGGGGCCGGGGCGCTGCGGAAGGAGGGGCCGCGCCGGGCTCGTCCGAAGCCGGGCGGGCGGGGCTGGGAAGGGGAGGTGTAGGGGCCGGACGGGGCGGAGCGGGCGGCAGTTGCGGCCAGCGCCGGGTGGGGAGTTGTGCGCCGGTCCCTGGGCCTGAGCTCGGGCCCGGGCTGGGCGCCTGCGATGTCTCAAGATGGCGGAGCTGGGCGAATTAAAGGTACGGCCCTCTCCGCGCCTCGCTCGGAGCCCGGCGGGCGGCCGAGCCCGGGCGGCGGCCCCGGGGGGCGCGCAGGGCGCGGACGGCGGCGGGGATCGGCTGCTGGGGCCGGCGAGGCAGGGGCTGCGGCGGCTCGGGGGCGGGGCTGCGGGTCGCGGAGGGTGGGGCCGGGGGCCGCCGGGGGCCGCGGCGCGGGGCGGGACGCGGGCGGAGGCCGGCCGGCGGCTAGGGGTGGTCTGGGTGGAGCCGCCCGCGGTGCCGCGCAGGCTGGGGGCCGGGGACGCGCGGCGAGGGCGGAGGGCGGCCTGGGGGCGGGGCCAGGCGGGGGGGCCGCGCGCGCGCCTCCGGGAGGCGGCCGCCGGGGGGCGCCCCGGACCGAGCCTCGCGCCTGGGGCTGAGCGGGACGTCCGGACCTCCCGAGCCCCGGTCCTGGGCAGCCGCGGGCGGGAGGAGGGAAGGCACCGGCCGAGCTGGGGAGAAGTGGACCCTCGGCGGCGTGGGATGGGGAGGAGGGTGGAACAAAGTTTGCCATCGCGTTCCCCAGAGGGGGTCCAGCACGGAGCCTTGGGTGGGGGGACCAGTGGGGAGGGCTGGCGAGCAGGGCCTGCCCCTGCCTGTGAGTCTCGGAGGGCCCCCGACGCGGGTCTCTTAAGGAGAGCACCTGCGCCCACCACCGCGCAGACCCTTCAGGTAACCCCGTCTGCGGCCATCTCGGCGCCGGGACGCCGGTTCCCCTGCTTCCCGGCTGGCTTCCGCCCGAGACCCGGGGCCGCGGGCCGGCAGGTGTTCTCCCGCCGCCCCCCGGCCGGGCTCCAGCCCTCGCGGGAGAGCCCCCACCGCCCGGCCGCCTGTCCGCAGGGGGTGTGGGGGGCGGGCCTCTGTTCTCCCGGGAGGCCAGCAGGCGGCGTCCACAGGTGGTCCGCAGGGTACCTGGGCTGGTGATCCCCGTGAACCCTTCCCCCTTGGGTTTGATTCTGTTTCCCTCCCAGAGAACAGGGATGACGGAGGTGGCTACGTAACGATGCCAAGAAAGGACTTGGGGGACTTATGAGCATTGAACTCTGACCGAAAACCCTGGCCATAAAGCCCCAGAGGCTTGGGGACGATACCTGGGGGGACTGAGGTGGCTGGGGAGGGAGGGGCAGGGTGCGCAGTGCTCCAGCCACTGGCCCTTTTCTCCTCTGTGGGCCGCCTGCCCCGAGTCCTGTCTTCTCCCTCATTCTCCTGCCTTCTGTCCTTTTCCCAGGAGGCTGGGATGGGTCTCAAAGTCTGAGAAAGAGCAGAAGAGGAGATAAGCAGCTTAAAGGGGAGTCTAGGCTAGAGGCAAGGATGGAGTAGGAGGCCTTAATGGCTAAGGCTGTCTGCCATCCTCTGTCCCCGCCGTCCAGTTTCCAGGGGTGTGGAGAGGGTCGCTCTGGCTCTGGGAAGAGGTGGTGGTGGTGAGGCTGAGCTGAGTGTTGCTGAGTGGCCAGGACAGCTGCTTGGCAGTCATCTACTAGTTGTGAAGCACCCTTCCGATTAACCCTGGAGGGAAAGGCACTGCTCGCTCGCCGGGCAGCCGCAGCCCAGTGCTCTTAGCTAACAGGCTTGTGCACGGTGGGATTCCCAAGCTTCTCTCTTCTTCTCACAGCACATGGTGATGAGTTTCCGGGTATCTGAGCTGCAGGTGCTCCTTGGCTTTGCTGGCCGGAACAAGAGTGGACGGAAGCACGAACTCCTAGCCAAGGCCCTACACCTCCTCAAATCCAGCTGTGCCCCCAGTGTCCAGATGAAGATCAAAGAACTTTACCGCCGTCGCTTTCCCCGGAAGACCCTAGGGCCCTCTGATCTCTCTCTGCTCTCTTTGCCCCCTGGCACCTCTCCTGTAGGCTCCCCTGGCCCTCTGACTCCCATTCCCCCAGCCCTTTTGGCTCCTGGCACCCTTCTGGGCCCCAAGCGTGAGGTGGACTTGCATCCCCCTCTACCGCAGCCCGTGCACCCTGATGTCACCATGAAACCATTGCCCTTCTATGAAGTCTACGGGGAACTCATCCGGCCCACCACCCTTGGTATGGCTCTCTGTGATCCCTCAGTCTTCCTGGACTCCAGTGTAGGCTGGACTCCTTCCTTAGATTTCAGTTCTGTGGGATTAGAAATCTGGGATGGAAGCAACTTCTGTGGCTGCCTGTGCATGGACTTGGGAATAACTGCCCCTTTGTGTCCTTAGCATCCACTTCTAGCCAGCGGTTTGAGGAAGCGCACTTTACCTTTGCCCTTACACCTCAGCAAGTGCAGCAGATTCTTACATCCAGGTACCTCTCTCTTAGTCCTCCTCCCTTATCCTTGGACTCTGCCTTCTTTCTTTTTTGTTCTCCTCCTTATTCATCCTCCTATACCTGCTTGTCCTTCATTTGTATATTTCTTCCCTATTCTCTGGACATCAACTTTGTCTCTGTCATTCACCCCTCCATCTGGAGGCTGATATCTTTCTCCCTTTTACAGAGAGGTTCTGCCAGGGGCCAAATGTGATTATACCATACAGGTGCAGCTAAGGTGAGTTAATATTCCCTCTCTACCCTGCTGGGCTCCTAGTAGGGTGGGAGTGAAATAGGGGTTTGATAGATATTCCTAGGAGGTAGCCTTGCTCTGCCACTGTCCACTTGTCTTCTAATTAGTTATACATGACAGTAGAATGCATTTTGACACATTGTACACAAATGGAGCACAACTTCTCCTTCCTCTAGCCCTGGGACTGTTGGATGCTTAGGGCTGCAGATGATCATGATTGATTTTCTGAGGTTCCCTGCCTCTCTGCCAGATTCAACTCCAGTAACTGCCTCCCACCTTTTATCTTTTGTCATTCTTCACCAGGTTCTGTCTCTGTGAGACCAGCTGCCCCCAGGAGGATTATTTTCCCCCCAACCTCTTTGTCAAGGTCAATGGGAAACTGTGCCCCCTTCCGGTAAATGCCTTTTCCATCTCCTGACAGTAACCCATTCCTGTTTTAGTTCATAAATAACAACTATAAATCTATTATGAGAGAGATATTCCCAGTACAGTGTCTGCCACATAATAGGCACTCAATTTATTGAAAGAGTTGATATAATCTAGAGAGTATTAAAAACTGCTGTAATCCCAGCAGTTTGGGCAGCTGAGGCAGGAGGATCACAAGTTCAAGGCCAGCCTCAGCAACTTAGTGAAGCTCTAAGCAACTTAGTGAGACCTGTCTCAAAAAAAAAAAAGGGCTGGGAATGTAGCTCAGTGGTAAAGGGCCCCTGGGTTCTATCCCCGTATTGCTTGTGCGAGCGTGCGCGCACGCACACACACACACACACACACACAAAGGGACAAAGGGAGTGGGGGATGTAGCTCAGTAGAATGGTATAATGCCCTTGGGTTCAGTTCCCAATACTGCCAAAAAGAAAAAAAGATACAGCTAAACAAAAGTTCTATTAGGACTCAGAGAAGTGACATTAGATTTCAATCCAAAGGTTCAGGGAAGACTTCTTTTTTTGTGTGGGGTGGGGGTACTGGAGATTGAACCCAGGGGCACTCAACCACTGAGCCCCATCCCCAGCCTGTTTTGTATTTTATTTAGAGGCAGGTCTCACTGGAGTTGCTTAGTGCCTCACTTTTGCTGAGGCTGGTTTTGAACTCGTGATCCTCCGGCCTCAGCCTCTCAAGCTGCTGGGATTACAGGTGTGCACCATGGTGCCTAGCAGGGAAGACTTAAAAGTCAAAGCCCTAGAGCTCTATGTAGAGGAAGTGAGGTATCCCTGTTCTTCCTCCTAAAGGACTTAGTGAGTGGGTTCGAATTTCCTTGGTCAGTAAGTAAGCTCTCCTTTCTTTCCAGGCATGAACCCCCTACACAACCTTAGGTAATATCCCAGTTTTGTGTGTCACTGAATGGGTCATGAGTGAGCCGACCTCTCCCCCAGGTGGTCAGCAACCTGAGACAAGGTGTCTTTTGTTGTCATAGCAGAGCCCCTTCCCAGAGCCACCTCTCCACTGACCAGCTCCTCCCTTCCTCAGGGTTACCTTCCTCCCACCAAGAATGGGGCTGAACCTAAGAGGCCCAGCCGCCCCATCAACATTACACCACTGGCTCGACTCTCAGCCACTGTTCCCAACACCATTGTGGTTAATTGGTCATCTGAGTTTGGACGGGTGAGCAAAACTAAAACAGGGTGCCCGGAAAGGCCTACAGGAGATGAAGGGAAATCATCTCTGTTCTTCATGGGACAAAAGGGGGTGGTGGTGGTGGTATGAGAAGCCGAAGCTGATTTTCTCCCTCTGACTCCCTCCTCCAAGTAGAATTACTCCTTGTCTGTGTACCTGGTGAGGCAGCTGACTGCAGGGACCCTTCTACAGAAACTGAGAGCAAAGGGCATCCGCAACCCAGACCATTCTCGGGCCCTGAGTGAGTAGCATCCTTTTCCTCTTCCCCCTCTGATTTGGACCTCAGTCTTCATAATACCTTTCTTGTGACAACTCCCTTCTCTTTTCACACTAACTCCAACTCCCTCCTGACTCCCTGCCAGTCTTCATGTGAGAAGCCAGACCGTTCCCAGGATGGATGGGATCTGGGTTCTCTGGACTGGAAAGCAGCTTCAGTCCCTTCTAGGTCATCTCTGATGTAGCCATGTTTGAACCACTTCAGGAACTGGGAGTCTCTCCCTCACACCCAGCCTTTGTAACCCAGATCTCAGACCATCCACGTGACCAGTCCAGTGATCCCCAAAGACTCTCCACCCAGCTGCCTTAGCCAGGGCCATCTGCATCGGCCTCACCAACCCCGGGGCTTCCTTCCGCCTTACTGATCCTATGGCTCTGGCCTCACTCTTGTTTCAGTCAAGGAGAAATTGACGGCTGACCCTGACAGTGAGGTGGCTACTACGAGTCTCCGGGTGTCACTCATGTGCCCGGTGGGTACCAGGGGAGAAGGGAAAGGGGAGGGAGTGATGAGTGTTCTTAGGGATGTGAGAGTGAGGTTTTCTGGAATGAAACCAGAGTGAAGACTCTGACTAGAAAGTTCTCTCCTCAGCTAGGGAAGATGCGCCTGACTGTCCCATGTCGTGCCCTCACCTGCGCCCACCTGCAGAGTTTCGATGCTGCCCTTTATCTACAGATGAATGAGAAGAAGCCAACATGGACATGTCCTGTGTGTGACAAGAAGGCTCCCTACGAATCTCTTATTATTGATGGGTAGGGTCATTTTTCTTCCTCTTAGCTAGGCATCCACCAGGACCCTCTTGACATAAATGGCTTAACTTCCCGTCACATGAACTCCAGCTCTCGCTCTGTCCCCTTTAGCTGTACATTCACAAATGTACATACATGCAGACATGCACGTGTGTGAGTGTGACATATTAAGGAATATGTATGTATGAGGCCTAGTGCTGAGCACTTTGTGTGCCTTATCTCATTGAATCCTCCTAATGACCTTGTGAGATAGCTGCCATAGAGGAAATTGAGGCCTAGAGAGATCGAGTCTTGCTCAAGTTTATACTGTTAGTAGGGCAGTTATAACTGAACCAAATTGTTATGACATATTGCTTATAACAACTATCTCACCTTCCACTGAGCATAGCAATAAAGTTCATTTGAGGGTCTGGGTGTGCTAATCCAGTTAGATTTTTTTTTTTCCTTACAAGCAAAGAATATTTTATTCCCCACAAGTAAAGATTTTTTTTCATAAGCAAAGAATTTCTTTTTCTTAGTTGATCTTATCCATCTTCTAGAGTCTTCATATGGATCTTGCTTGCAGTGTGTTTTTTGAGATGGTTTAAGAAGTTCTGTATCTCTTTTTCTATCTTGTTCCTAGAATTATACCTAACAAGTGCTCAGATTGTATTTATGTTAAAACCTAACAGCAAAAGCTTGCAAAGTTCTTTTACATATATACTTACTTTGATTTCAACAGTGACTCAGAGGTCTAGTAGGGTGGATATCCCTATTTTACAGATGAGGAAACTGAGTCACAGGAAGGTGAGTCACAGAACTGAGTACTGTGCAGCCATCTCCCGGCCTCATAAATGCCCATCTTTCCCTTCCTCTAGTTTATTCATGGAGATTCTTAATTCCTGTTCGGATTGTGATGAGATCCAGTTCATGGAAGATGGATCCTGGTGCCCAATGAAACCCAAGAAGGAGGCATCTGAGGTTTGCCCCCCGCCAGGGTATGGGCTGGATGGTGAGTGACCCCCTGTCCCCCAGCTGAGCTAAATCTCAGATGGCCCTTTTTCTAAGACAGTCCTCTTACCACCTACAGGCCTCCAGTATAGCCCAGTTCAAGAGGGAAATCCTTCAGAAAATAAGAAGAAGGTTGAAGTTATTGACTTGACAATAGAAAGCTCATCAGATGAGGAGGATCTGCCCCCAACCAAGAAGCACTGTCCTGTCACCTCAGCTGCCATCCCAACACTACCTGGAAGCAAAGGGTAAGAGGATCTACAGCAAAAGGGACAATGGAAGAGTCGGGAATGCTTTCTGATCAAACCCGGAGGCCGGGAAAGGTGGAGAGGGTAGAGGGGACCTGGGAAGCCGGCCTGGGGGACGGTGTGGTCCACTAGCTGACCCAGGCCCTGCTTTCCTTACAGAGTCCTCACACCTGGTCACCAGCCCTCCTCGGTGCTACGGAGTCCTGCCATGGGCACCTTGGGCAGTGATTTCCTGTCTGGTCTCCCACTACATGAGTACCCACCTGCCTTCCCCCTGGGGGCTGATATCCAAGGTATGACACTGATGCACAGATGGGACCCTGCTCCTTTGCAAAGTCTCCTGGGTCTCCTCTAAGAAGCCACCATCCACAGAACTTGTCTTTTGGCAGTGAAGGGGTCAGATAGGAAGTTGATTTTGATTTTTCTTTTCCTGCCAGGTTTAGATTTATTTTCTTTTCTTCAGACTGAGAGTCAGGTAAGTGGTTCCTTTCTCCATGAAGATCTGAGATCTCTGAAGCTTCCTTTCTAGGCACTGAGGGTACCCTGATCTCTGCCATTGTCCCTGGGAACTCAGTCTTCTCTGTGAGGGAGGGAGGATAAAGGTAGCTTATTTCCCTCCTCGGCCCCCACTAGTACTTCCTCAGATTCCTACCTGTTTTCCTGGATCCTGTCACTGTTCTTTGAGGATTTTTAGTGTCCTTCCGCCCCTGCCTGCTCGCCTTCACACATCCTGTGCACTTAAAGCACTGGGTGTACCCCGCCGCCGCCCAGGCCCACATTTCAGACACCTCAAGGCCAAGAACCTGGTGTGCTGGAGGGGCTGTCTCCAGGCAGCGCGAAAGGGAGGGGTGTGGGAGAGCAGGCAGAGCCACAGAGGTCCTACGTCTGGAGAAACAAGGGCCCTTGAAACCCACAGGGGCTCACTGACCCCATGAGACATTTCTGAGCTGAGTTATGGGAGGTGGGTGAGTTGGGATAGACCCTAAACTGTGCCCTTGATCCCTCCAGCACTATGGTCCTTCCGTCATCACCTCGCTAGATGAACAGGATGCCCTGGGCCACTTCTTCCAGTACCGGGGGACCCCTTCCCATTTTCTGGGCCCCCTGGCCCCCGCACTGGGGAGCTGTCACCGCAGCCCCACTCCAGCACCCTCTCCTGGCCGTGTCAGCAGCTCTGTGGCTCCTGGGGCGCCCTTGAGGGAGGGACATGGAGGACCTCTGCCTTCAGGTCCCTCTGTGACTGGCTGTCGGTCAGATATCATTTCCCTGGACTGAGCTCCTTGGAGTATGGAACCTTCACTGTCCTCCAACACTGAGCAAATATGCTGTGTGGACCCCAGCCCCTGGCCACTCTCATCCCTCGGGGGCTTTGGCCAAAGGCCACACAGACCTTCAAGGACACCTACTTTGGCCTCATCTCTGCCTAACAAAGCCAGCAGCAAAAGGTTAATATTTAGCTTCTTTTAAAGGACATTGGGGTCTGTTTGGGGAATGTTCTTTAGATGGTGGCACGGTCCTTTGCTGTGTTAACCCAGGCAGTGGGGGGCAAATGAGATGGGGTGGCAGTTGGGGAAGGGTTGGAGCCTCCTGGGGAAGGGGCCTCTTTTTTTTGTCTGTGAGATGCCCTCTCTGTCCCCCAAGCGCAACCATTCATACTTTTCATGTCCATTCCGTTCCCTTTGGCCACACAGGCGGCAGGACAGACAGGCAGTTTCAGAGATGGACAAAAAAACCTCTATTTTGTGTTGTGGATTTTTTTGTACATAAACAGAAAACTCCCAAATACTCCAAAGATGACTTTCCTGCCCCTACTTCCCAGTATGACTGAGTAGGAGAGAGGCCTTAAGTCAAGATCCCCAGGGTTTGAGAACAGGGAGGGCCCAGCCGCCTGCCTGGGTCTCTCTCTATTTATATATTTAAGTTCACAGCGTGTCTGAACACTGACCAGCCTGGGGCCTGTGCCTCTCGAGGCCCACCTGTGCCTCTCGAGGCCCGTGGCCCTGGGCTTCGCCCTGGCTCATTTTGCACCTTTCCTGGCAGGTGGGAGGACCCTTGTGCCCTCCTTCCCAATCTCTTTTCTCTGGCTCCTCAAGGGCCTGGAACCTATGTTGTAATTTTACTTTTTACTTTCAAAGTTGTAGCAAAGTTCTCACCATAATAAAGGTTGTGAATGTTCTGTGAGTGTCGTGGGGGTGGGCACTTCACTTTCCATATCCCTGGGTTGGGGGAAGAGGGTCCATGTTCCATTCTTCCTTTGATGGCCCTACATCCATGTAAGCTCCACTTTCACCTGATGGCGTGTTACGCTGAGGACTTCAAGAGCAGTTATTATTTATCCCTTCCTCTCCTCCATGCCTGTAAGAACCCTAGACCATTCCAGCCCCAATGCCGTGGAGCCCTCAAGTCGTTCCTCATCTTTACCTGTGCAGATGTTGCAGCCATAGCCGGAGGGCAAACTTGGTTCCAGTGCTGATCCTCTCCTTGTCCTCCTCTGTGGTTGGGGTTGTCCACAGCAGTGTGGACGTGGGACCAGAGGTTGGGCTCCTCCATCCTCCTTTAGTTCTACTGCACCGCAGTGTGACAAGCTCTTGTCTGAGTTGTCCCTTAGGGCTTGGAAAGGACTACTTTTTTTTTTTTTTTTTAATTTTTCGATGTTGATGGACCTTTATTTTGTTCATTTGTTTGTATGTGGTGCTGAGAATCGAACCCAGAGCCTCACACAAGCTAGGCAAGTGCTCTGCCACTGAGCCACAACCCCAGCCCCTAGAAAAAACTTTGTTAGGTCATGTTAGGCGGTTGGGTATTAATCTCATTTTACAGAAAGGCAAGAGGTTCAAGGAGGGTGCCCTTAGTTGAGAGTCAAACTTAGGTCCTCATTTCTAGCCAGTTGGAGTAAGAACCCTTGGAGTTTGATCTCGTGTATCTCCTAATCATCAGTGAACCAACTCACTCCCTAAATCTTCTCTACACCACAAAATTCCATTCTAAAGAAAAGAAGGGAACTGAATTTCTCAGTGTGTACGTGGTGTTATGTTGGAGGCTAAGGAAGAAGCTCTTACTTACAGGATAGAGGATGGGAGGTCCTGAGGGAGATCTCTGGGTGTTTCTGTCCTATCCTCTGTGGCACCCACTGCAGCTGCTGTATCTGGTTCCAGCCACATAAAGGCGCTCACCTCACTTGGGTTTGGTTAGATCCGGACCTGGGTTTAGACATGTTGATTTCCTTAGCCATGGCCTCTCCCTGGCCTGTTCTGAGCACAGCAGACCCGCAGGTGGAATGGAGAGAGACATGGGGCAGGGGCAAGAGAGATGCTACTGGTTGTTCTTGTTTCTCCCTCCTCCCACATCCTTGATCACACTCAGTTGGAACCATGTTGGTTGGGTTCCCTTGAGTCTTAAGTTCCATTTTCTTCCTCCACTGCCAGACCTACCTGCAGCTGCTGCCCTGACCCCTGGGAGATCACAAGTGGATAAAGAATGATGTGATGGTATTTGGGGAAACCCCAGCTCACCTAGGAGGATAGGCAGACTAAGAAGAAAACAGCCAAAGTGAGAAATTCCTGTTTTTGAGACTTCATAAGTATAGTTTTAGGATGAAACAAAATGCTGGCTAGAAACTGAGAAAGTGGATAATGTGGTGCAGGAGGGACATGGGGAGGGTTGTCATGGCTTGAGGACTCCAGTCTACCCGCACTTCACCAGTTCCCCAGTGTCCAAGGCAGGTAGAGGCTATTCTGTGGACTTTGGGGGTCGTTGAGGTCTCAGTTAAATAGGGAAGGGCCTCTTCCAGGGCCCTGTCTCAGCTCCCATAATCCCAACGGGACCCAAGACAACTGGCCCTGGGGCAGCTGCAGTCCAGTCTCCTCCCACAGCTCTCCAAGTCCCCCGTCAGCAGCTGGGAGTCGGAGAGGGCAGGTCCGAGGCCAAAACCCGTCTCTAGTCCTTTGGTCTTTTCCTCCCTTAACCCCGCCCAGGGTGGACCCGGACTTGGGTTTCTTGGCTCAGGGCAGGTGGGTCAGCGGCCTGGTACCTCCTCATCAAGGTCCCCATGTCCACCTACGGTAAGTGGAACCAGTGGGGCCCGGAAGTGGGGTTCGGCAGAGGCCCCCCACCCCACCCGCAGTGCGCAGGTTGCGCTGTGGCCCCCGGGGACCGCGGCCGAGCCAGGCTGGGGCCGGCTTCTCTACCCTTCCCAGGCCGGAAGGGCATGCGGGGAGGAGGAAGCAGCTTTCGCTGGCCTAGGCCGGGTCGCAGGGAGCCCCGAGGTTGGGGGAGCCCCGAGAGCGCGAGTCAACAAGACGTCAAGGAGGCAGACTGGCCGCTGGGCTGCAGCGGGACGGCCACCCCGAGGCCCACACCCGAGGCCCCGGGCCGCAGGCCAAGGCCCGGAAGGGCCACGCGGGGCGGGGGCGCTCGGAGGGATGGGCCGGCAGCCGCGCCCTGGCCATGGTCCCGGCCGGTGCCCTTCGCGACCTGGAGCGGAAGTCGCGCGAAGCCTCCGAGGAAGGGCCCGGCCCGCAGGAGGCCGCGCGGTCGTGGGTCGCCGCCTTCCGCCGCGCGCCCTCTGGCGGCCCAGCGCGACCCCCGTCCTGTTGGGGACGGTCCCCGGGGTGCTGTCCGCAGGCCCCGGCTTCACCTCCTCCGACTCCTCAGCTTAGGACGATGATCTCCGCACGGACGCTCTCTGGCCTCTGGCCACCTCCCGCCACCGCACTGTGCACGCCCCTTAGAATCGATGACGTCCGTCCCCAAGTCACTCAGGCGACGTCTGGATGCCGCCACCTTCCCTCACCTCCCTCAGAACCGCGTGCCGCGGGTCCTAGGGCCTTACACTTCCCCAAATCTGACGTCTTGCTCTCTCCTCGGCCTGCAGAGCCCGATTCCCAGCCTTCCTCCCTCCTGCAGGCGCCATGTCCTGTCCCGAGTCGTCCTCTGCCAGCAGCCAGAATGAGCTCAAGTCGGTTCACTGCGATCACACGACGGTGGAGTTCACCGCCACCTACCGTACTGCACTGGGGGGACCTGCTAAGGCAGGGCGGCTCCCACTCCTCCCCGCTCCCAGCAGGGACCGACCGTCAGCCCTCTCTCTAGCCTACATTCTGGCACCGCCCGCGCCCTCTTTTCTAGTCCTCGCTATTTGTAGTTGGCACAAACCCCAGCCTCTACCCCTGTCACCTGGAAAATCCCTCACCCCTCAAGCCACAGATTGTCCCTTTCCTTTCTTGCCTCTGTGCACCTGGCACCGACTCCTCCACTTCAGCTCTCCGTGTACTCGGGTCTCTTCTCCCCGCCAGGCCGTAGGTACTCGGCTCTTTGTATCCCTGAGGGCTGGCTCAGTTCTTGGTACTAAGTGAACGATGGTGGGAGGGTTTTGTATATTGTATTTAATTAGCACTCTTGTTTTAAAGAGTTAGAGCAAACACTGGTTTGGATCATAAACAACATGTAACTGCTTTAAATGAATTGAAGCTGCTGGGACAAATTATATCCATGATGGTGAGAGAGAATTTAGAGTTGTCATTTTCCAGAGACCATGTGAAAAGGAAAGCAATAATTTACTGCTTGCTTATGAGAAGCCTGACATTGTGCTGTGTTCTACCTTCATATTTTCAGATGTACCAGAAGCCCAGAGCTGGCAAATGCGTCTGGTAACCACACATTCAAATGTGACTGCTTGAGCCAATCCACCTGTTAGCCCTAAAAATAGGCTTTCTCTCCACTTCATGGTAATCTTCCACATTCCCTACACAACGTGTGTATGTGTTAAAAATTACAGCTCAATGAAATAAACAACAGACTTTTGAAAATGGAATTGATGGCTTAGGGAGAAACTTCTATTGTGAGACATTCAAACACAGGCTTGGCTAACTTCTTGATAACAACTGATAAATCTTATAGATGATTAATTTTAATCATTTAAGGTTCTTTCTACTGCCAAGGTTTGATGAGAGGAGAATATAGTGATGGGTCTAAGCCAGTCAGCAGACTTGAAAAAATACTTTTCCAGGTATATTCATAAAGGAATTTTCAGTATAAGAACCTGCAACTTATTCCACTTAAAAGAATGCATCCAGGCACCACCTCCTTTATTTTTCTTTCCATCTCCCCAGATCTTTTGAGGAAGGTGCTTCTTCTGAGTCATTGTCTCTTCATGGTGCTCTCGATGTATGACTCCAGCAAGAAGATTGTTTCATCTACCTGGATCTCACTGGCGTCCAACCTGAGTGAAAAAGTAAAAGCATTTGCCCAGACCGAATGTTCATTAGTATATTGAATTTAGAGGTTGGGGTAGGTGTGTCTTGGTTACCCTTGAGAATACTGGGTGGAAAGCAGAAGAACCAATAAATCACTTTTCATTTACTGAGCATCTTTTATGTGCCAGGCACTGTGGAGGCTGCTGAGTATGTATAAGATCAAGCCTCCGTTTTTAGGGAGTTTAGCCTAACTTGCAACCAAGAGAAAGACTAGCACACATAAAGGTGTAGGTAGAAGGAGCTAGTGTATTTTAAAATTGTGAGAAGAGTGGCTGGAGCGTAATGTTCGTGGCGATTGGGTTTTTTTCCACCTAGGGAAAAACCACAGCTAACATCATACTTAATGGTGAAAAACCTGAGAGCTTTCCCCTAAGATCAGGAGCAAGAGTAGGATGTCTGTTCTTGCACTTCTACACAAAAATTGTTTTTTTTTAAAAAGGTGTAGTTGGACACAATGCCTTTTATTTTATTTACTTATTTTTATGTAGCGTGGATTGAACCCAGGGCCTTGCCTGTGCTAAGCGAGTGCTCTACCGATGAGCTACAACCCCAGCCCCCAAATTGGTTGTTTTTCTCTATACTAGCAATGAATGATCTAAAATAGGGACACACAAGTAAAAAACAAACAAAACAAACAAAAAAAAAACTTGGGAATAAACTGACAAAACAGGTGAAGTCTTGACCACAGAAAACAGTAACTCATTGTTGAAGGAACTTAAAGATGGCCTAAGTAGATGGGCAGCATGCTTGTTGTGCTCACAGGTAGAGGATTTTAATGTTAAGATGGCAGTGTTCCCCAAGGCAGTCTGCATGTTCATCATTATCCTGATTCAGGTTGGTGATGAAGAGCAAGAAGACATGAAGGTAATACAGGCTGCTATAAATTGTGAAAGTCCCTGTGTGTCACACAAAGCCTGGCCTTTATACCATAAAGATAGGTAGTCAATAAATCATCTGAAATAGTGAGTTTAGGTTGGCCCATGTTAAGTTGAGGTCTGGAAGGTATTTTGAAATATAGCTTGAAGCTATGATGCTTACTTGTTGACATTCCGTTTCAGGGTCTCCAGCTGCTGACGTTCAGGAGCTGTGATCATCTCTTCTATTTCTTGTAGCTGTGCCTCCTCTGCACCTGTGGCCTGCATAGATGCAATGATGGCTTCTACCCTCTGAGACTTTTCTAGTAGACGCCTGTCAGACAAACACAACTCTGAGGCTTCTTCCTTAAACTCTGAGGTTTTCTTACCCTTTCTCCCCGAGGCACAAGTTCCCCTTTCACCATGTTCCTGATCAAAGTGGATAACAGCACCATTTAAAGACATTTTCTATAGACTTACTCTGCAAAAGTATTTGGGGGTATACTGGAAAAGTCTATAGACTAATGCACGATTTATGCCAACCTAAAACAATGATTCAATTAACTAGACTAGTTATTGGATATCTGTCTCCATTTCTATAGAAAATTCCCTTTAGGCCTTTGATCTTGAAAAATGTAAATGACAAATGAAAATGCTACTCACTTGTTCTCTTTGGTTTCAAATTGCCTCCTTTCTATTAAGTTGGCTATGCTCTGAGGAAAGAGAAGAAAGACTAGAAATGCATATAGTTGTATTTAAATAGCTCAGCTAAAATGGGTAGAGGTGGCACAGGATGAAACGTCTCAGTGAAGGGAATGGGAAGAAACCACATGAGGTTACCTTGTAGCACCTGTGCAACAACATCCGGGCAGCTGATAGGACATTCACAGTATATAAATAGAAGGTCCTAGATGGGGCATGGTCTGGTGTTTTGGGAATTTCCTATTTGTCACAGAAAGAAAAATAAGAAAAATTGTACGATTTTTTCAGAATTGGCAAAGTAAGCACCCATTCCATTCAGAGTCATTCAATTCTCTCTTTCACTAATACTTTCCCCTTCCCTAGTTATCTAGTCGCTCTGTTTATGACACAATCAGCCACATGAAGACTGCATAGCCCTGATTTTTTCATTTGACCATCAGCATCCTGAGTGGGAAAGAAAGGAAAGGCAAATAATACTTACTGAGCAAACTCAACATGCCAGGTGGCTTATATTTGATCTTTACAACCAAACATATTCTTATTACCACAATCTGTCACCATTTTTAATGATGGCAGGTGACTTGTTCAATGTAACTGGGTAAGAGGCAGAGCTGTGATCTGCTCTAAAACCTATTCTACCTACTTCCCGATAGCGTCTCTGACATGGCTTTGCAAAGCCCCAACATATGCTACTGATAGAGTTAAGGCTCAGGAAAGGACAGGAATGATAGGAAAAAAGGGAAGCATGGTGTTAAGGCAATTCCTTGGCTATCTTTCTTACTAGGCCAGTTAAAGCTCCACAGTATACTTTAAGTGCTTGTTATGTCTTTGTTAATAAATTTTTCTGTCTCATAGCTAGATTCAGAGTTTGCTTGGGGACTCAGTTTGCTTGAAACTCTACTTCAAGAGTTTTTCTCACTCTAGGACAGTTTTGCTGGTTGGCAATTATATGCGTGGCTACCTGGAGTGATATGAAATTTTCTGAGAGCATCTTATATAGCATATCCTTTGCCTCCTTTGCAGGAATCATTGCAAAGTCCTCCACCTGCTTCTGCTCCAGGTGTTTCTTTTGCAAAACTAGACGGAATATTCTGGCACAGCGAGATCCGAATCTGGAAAGAAATAAACAAAATAAATATCGTACCAATAAAAAAAAAAAAAAAAAAAAATCAACATCAGCTCCTGGTCTTAGATGGTTGTTGTCCTAGTCCATAAGTGGAGCCAGGACCAAAAGGGAACAGCAATCGGAGAATTCCTTCACAGCTCCACAGGCTGGTGATGGTATTGTTCATCATAAAGGAGTCACCAACTGCTGACTCATTTGAGTGCCACAGTTGTTGTGTTACAAGACTTTAAAGAGCCTGGTTAATTTGCATAACCAGGAATTAAACAGTGTTTTTTTTTTTTTTTTTTTTTGGGGGGTGGGGTGGGGGAGTGAAGAGTAGTAGTAGGTGGGATCCATAGCTGTTCAGTGGAAAAATGGGGCAAAATGTGCCTTTACTGATTACTTACATAATGATTAAATGCTTGTTCAAATGAGGTATGGATAGGAAGTGTCTAGCTCCAATCCCAATCAGAATGACCCCCTTACCTCTCCTGTACGACGGATTCCAGAGTGGCTGTGGCTAGAGATGCTAATGCCTTATGGAGGTCTTTATGTAGAGGATTAAGGTCACTTAGTAATGTTTTAGCCTTGTCATTTTGACAGTTTTATTCCTAAGTTTCTAATTTATAATTAAAATTTAAGAGACATTTTATTTTTCACATTAGTTTTATTTATGGTATATTTCTTAAAATTTTAATTAATGAAAATGTTTGAGAATTTTGCTTAACTAAAATTTGGTTGAGTAAGATTTCTTTTTATTTTGTCATTAATGTAGTTAATTGAAAATTCATAGAAAAATAGAAAGTTACTTCAATTTTCTAATTTATTTAGTATAATAAACATCACCAAATCTTTCTTTCATAAGTCACCATTCTGCTTTAAAGCTCAGGGTACCATAATAACTAAGAATAATTGGTAGGAGTAGCACAGTGCTAGAGAGCTTGCCTAGCATATGTGAGGCACAGGGTTTGATTCTCAGCACTGCATATAAATGATTAAATAAAGGTCCATCAACCACTAAAAAAATTTAATGAAAAAAGAATAACTGGTAAGGATACTGATGACATACATTCCTCCACCACTGTCGCCAGACTTTCCAACAAACTCTAGCTATTAAAAAAAAGAGAAAGAGTGTTAACTGAATGGAAAGTCCAGTGATTCTGTTTCCAATGGAGTGAATCTGGCCAAGAGTCTGCAGCAAGTAGCTTTCCTGTCAGATGATGGTGGGGAAATTGTCTGAGCTGGCTAGTACAGAATGAGGCTATAGGAGAATGATACTAGGTGTCAGTGGCAGAAGTAAATTGTAAACAGAGGAGCAGGAAAAAAAAAGTGCAAAAATAGACTTACAGGATCATCTGCCAGCAGAGTGAGATACTGATCAAGAACTTGCTTAGAGATGTTATAGCCAACCGGCAGGGATCTGAAGATCTACGGAGCAAGAGGGGACACTGAAAATGGGCTTGATCATTTAGGATTGCTAACATTAATAAAGATGTTTTAATTTTAGCTATCACAAGTATAAAAAAAAAGTTCAAAAAAATATTCACTGTAACACTGTTAAGAGTAAGAAAATAAGAAACAACCCAATGTTCAGTAATAAGGAATTAAAATAAACTACAGCATGGGCATTAATGTGATAGTCATAAAGAATGAGAATCTGTAAGTACTACATGAAAAGAAGTCTTACATATACTGTCATATGAAAAAAGTAAGTTGTAGGGCTGAGGATGTAGTTCAGTGGTACAGTGCTTGCCTAGCACGTGAGAGGTCATGGGTTTGACCCTTCACCACAAAACAAAAAATGAGTACAATCTCATTTTTTGGGGTTAAAATAAAAATACATAGATCTACATATATGTTAGGCTATCTGTTAAAAAATGCTCTGAATAAACATATATATCAAACTATTAACAGGGATCTCTGGGGCTGAGATTATGTAAAATTATGGATATTTTAAATTGATGTATATTACAGAAAATAAGAAGCATAGATCTTAAGGGTTCAATTTGATCAGTATTGATAATTGTATATACCCATGTAACTACCAGGCACAATAAGATAAAGAACATTCTACCACCCTTGAACCTTTGGGTAAATGGTAACTTTAAAAAATTTAGCCACAACATTCAATTTAAATAAATTATGAAATATAAATATTTGATATATTAAGCATTAATATTTTAAAGATAATACAAAATTTAGCTGGGTATAGTGGCATAAGCCCGTAATCCCAGCTACATGGGAGGCTGAGACAAGAGGATCACAAGTTCAAGACCAGCTTGGACAACTTAGTAAGACACTGTCTCAAAATAAAAAAACAACAGGGGCTGTGGATATAACTCAGTGTAGAGTGCCCTTGGGTTCAGCGCCCAGTACAAACACAAACACAGACACAGACACAGACACACACACACACACACAATTCAAACACAAGGGGTCAAATACAAATAATGCCCAAATGCTAAGGTTCTCAAAGATTCTTTTTTAATGTTTTTGAGATAGGATCTAACTATGTTGCCTAGATTGGCCTCAAGTGATTATTTTCCCTCAACCTATCCAGCAGCTGGGACTACAAGGTGCACATTACACACACTGCTAGTGAATTCTTAGAATAATTAGGAATAAGTTATATATGACAAATAAGTAGATTTTTAAAAGCTGGATCCCAAGAGACCAAGTATTTCAGTGCTCACCACTTGAAGGTAATCTAAATAATAAAAACCCTTTTCTTTCAAAGCTTGGACCTAGACCCTAGGCTCCACGTATGCTAATTGTTATAATATCCACAAGTCTTAGAAGCTAGCACAAAAACATGAAACTCACCTCATTGGAAGACAAGGGTTGGGTGAAGGGGGCACTAGAGGGAGTGGTAATCTCACTCATCCGGAGCATGGTCCGCACAATCTCACTGCTTGTCTGGGTTTGAAAAGTAAACTGGGATTCAGAATTAGTTGTGTTGCCCCAGATCTGGCTATGTGCCAAGGGCCACATCTGGCAACTGAATGACTTTATTCCCTATGATCACTGACAGACCCCATGTAGATACGACCTGGTCCATCCTGTTGGCAACTGCGCTCACAATGGCTTGGTCACGGAAGTGCTGGTGGAACCTCTCAAGGTTGGCCTGCCAATAAATCCCATCATCTGGAATGGGCTGAAGAGGAGAAAGTATTAGAGAGAAACGTTTAAACAATGCGGAGTTTTCTGGTGAGGAGCTTGGATTTGACTGTTCACCGTTTCTTTTCCTCTACTATAACAACTAAATTGGTTGGAGAAAAATCATTCAATCATATGAATCAGTGTCTTGATAAATTCCAGCTTCAAACTAGTTCTCACACTAATCTCCAATCTATTTCTATTTTAACTCTTTTCCATTATCTCAAGTCTCCTACTTGATTCTTTCTTTCTTACTTTTCGCTGATGACCTTGCCTTTGATTTCACAGAGAAATCAGAAGTCATTAAGTAAAAACTCACTTGACTTTGTGCACACATCCTCTTTCTTCCTTGCTTTAAAATTTTTTTTTCTTTTCTTTTTTGGTAGCACTGGTGTGTGTGGGGGGTCAAACTCTGGGCCTTTGCACACTAGGTAAGTGCTCTATCACTGACCTACATCTCCAGCCAGATCTCTACTGTTTATTTTAATTTTTGACATGTTTATGTGCATGTTTATGGAGTATAGTGAAATGATCAGATCAGGGAAACTGGCATTATCTATCACCTCAGAGATGTCTATTCTTCATTATCCTTAATGTTGTTAACCGTATTTCAGGTTCTAATCATGGCTCAACTGGATTATAATAGCTTCCTAACTCATTTTCAACTGAGGATTGAACTAAGGAGTGCTTTACCACTAAGCAGTC